AAGACTTTTGGTCATTCAGACGGTTGTGATTTTCCGGCCATATTCAACTTCGGTGACTCAAATTCTGACACCGGTGGCAAGTCAGCTGCATTTCACCGTATTCCTTACCCCAATGGCGAAAATTTCTTCCACAAGCCATCTGGGAGATACTGTGATGGGAAGCTCATCATTGATTTCATTGGTTAGTTTGCTTTGTTAAATCTTCATCCTTTAAGCATTAATCGTGCTGTATTCTGTTTTTCAAGATCAATCTTGGATTATTTGCAGCTGAGAAATTGGAGCTGCCATACTTGAGTGCGTATCTGGATTCCATTGGTACAAATTTTAGACATGGAGCTAATTTTGCTACAGGAGGATCTACAATTCAGCCAGTTGATGCCATAATATTCAACCAAGGGTTCAGCCCTATCTCTCTTGATATACAGCTTCTGCAATTTGAACAATTTAGAGAACGCACCAATGAGCTACATAGAGAAGGTTAGCTATCATGGAAAAAGATCATATAAATTCAAGTGAAAATTTTCAGATTTTGATTCATAATGGAATTAATGTTTCTAAAATCCATGCTACAAGTGCAGTGGCTTAGCCATTGGCCTCATGTGGAATTCACCTGGTGGGGTGTGTTCAAGCTCCACCAGCCCCTTCCCCAATTCCCGTCCCCCCTGCCCCTAGTTGCAACAAATTGTCTATGTTCAAAAAAAAAAAAAATGTTTCTGACTTTTTTCGTTCTTAAGGTGTGAACTCAAATATCAAAAGGGGGATTCCGAGGCCAGAGGACTTCTCAAAAGCATTATACACTTTGGATATTGGTCAGAATGATCTCACTGGTGCAATTAAGTTAACGGGAGAAAAACAAGTGCTAGCATCTATTCCAGGACTTATTGATCAGTTTACCCAAGCTGTTACGGTAACTATATACTAAGATTATGGTTTCATTCCATTCCTTAGATAGTGATACCTTGTAATTTGAGCACAATCACAAGACCTTAGAAAATGCATAATTGCATAATTGCAATTTGTATGAATTTAAATCCTTTGCTCACGCATGTCTGCATATAGCATCAAGCATATATTGTTAAAAGCCACAGTTGTCTAGTCTAGTTTAGTTTTGTATATCCAGTGCCTTTTTCCAATTCCATTCAGAATCAGCTAATATGAGAGGCTTGTTATAGGAGCTATAAGCTGAAGTTAGCACCACCCTAGATCAACAAAGTTAAAAGGAAATGCATCAGAACTATGTGCACGGCATAAATGGCTGTTGGTACCATGTTGGTGATTTTCTTAGCAAAAACTAGGCACATCTTATGTTTCCTCCTCAGTTCTGAGTGCTTGTTGATTTTCTTTCTTTCTACTGGCCTAGAAACACCAACTTGAGCTGATTAACCTGCTTCATTGCTTACATGGATTATAGAGCTTAGAAAATTCATAAGAAATATTCAAAGATCCATATTATAGTCCCTGTAGAGAAATGCAGTTAACTGGTTTTAATATTTTGAGAAAATATTTCATCAAAAGAAGAAGAAGAAGAAGAGAAAACATAAAAGATAAAGCAAAGATTAAAACCATTTACTTATTGCATCTTTCATTCTTCTTCCTCTTACTGTTTCAGCGGCTGTACCAACTAGGAGCAAGGACATTTTGGATACATAATACAGGTCCTTTTGGCTGTTTACCCCAACAGGTTCTAGATTATCCTTCAAAACCTGAAAATGTGGATCAAGATGGTTGCATAAAATCCCAGAATGAGGTGGCTCAAGAATTTAATCGGCAGCTCAAGGAGAGGGTATCCCTACTCAGGGTGCGACTCCAAGATGCAGCTCTGACATATGTTGACATTTACTCAGCTAAATATTCTCTAATTTCCAATGCAATGAAGCATGGCAAGCTTCATTTCCTTTCTTTTTTATGTTTTGACATGTGACAATGCATTTCCAGTTTTCCACACATTATTAGACTCTGTTTCAGTGTCTATTCCAATTGTATATGCAGGATTTACTAACCCACTCGGATATTGCTGTGGCCATTATCTCAATGACAAGTGCTCGAGGAAGAAAATAGTGAATGGCACTGAAATTCCACGGAGTTCATGCAGCAACCCTTCAGCCTATATTAGTTGGGACGGCGTACATTATTCACACGCTGCTAATCAGTGGGTGGCCAACAAGATACTTGATGGCACCCTTTCGGACCCTCTAATTCCTATTACTGAGGTGTGTCAAAAGCTACACCATTTGTGATCAAAAGCACAAAGCATGTAACTCATGTCATAGTTTTCTGCAACAGAACAATAACTGACTTCTGTCTGTTTTTGCATTTTGATTCATGGTTTCATGGTGTTTGGAACAAGAACGGATTCAAGAGGGTCACTCCCACTGGATCTTTCAAAGTGAAAAAAAAAAAAAAACCCTTCAAAATTATCCGTAAAATTTGACGTAACACAAACAACCAACTCCACTGGGATCAAAATCAAACCCAGAATCTCTAGTTCTAAAGACCGGCACCTTATTCATTGTACCGTTTGGTCTTCAATGCTGTTAGGTGCTTTGTACTTCATCATTGCTTGAATAAACACATCCAAGTTGCTTAATTTTAAAATTGCGGTTCATTTTATTGAAAGTCTATGTGATCACATGGGTCGTTGTTTTACTGTTCCGTTCGGAACGATATAGATTATAAAATAACGACTTTAATTTGAAAATTGTTCTTTATTTAAAGATTTATGTTTTATAAATTGATGTAGTTTAAATTATAAATTAATTTTCTCTAATCACAAAATAAAAAAAAATGTTTATTAGTTAAATTTGTAAAAGATTAAATGAAAAAGTATTTTAAAACTGCGGAATCTTAATAAATTTAGTTTAAAAAAAGATTAAAATAACTTTGTAGTACAAGAATGCTACTATTTTGATTTTTTTATAATATTTTATTAAAATATTTTTATCTACTTTTTACAGATTTAATTAATAAATACTAATTTCGAATAGATTTATATTTATATTGTAATCGGCTCAACTAGTAAAAAAGACTGTGGTTATGGTTATTAATATTTTTGTTAAGATTATTAATTTTACTTTTAATTTTATTAATTTATAATTTTTTAAACAATTAATTATAATATTTAAAATTTTTTATTTATAAACTGATTTTAATTTTTTAAATAATAAATATTAATTATTTTTATAAATTATTAGTTATTTTTAATAATTAAATTAAAATAAAATTTAACAACCTTAATAACCTTAATAAAAAAAATCCTTCCATTTTTAATTTTTGGTGGAAACAATTCAAACAAAATATACATTTAAACAAAAATATTTGATTAGGAAGAGAACAGAAATTTTGGGGGGAGTCCATTGCCTTCCATGAATAGATGCTCATTTTCCAGTTTACCAATAACACGTTAATTGAAGAACGCCTGCCGGCAAAAGCACCAACAGTTTAATGTAAGTCCTTTTATTATAGTAAGGGTTTGATCCCACCCTCCACCTCCCCCTCTCCCTCTCCCAAACTACTTGCCTTAATTAAAAAAGAAAAAGGAAAAAAAAAAAAAACACGTTAATTCAATTAGAAGGAATTTGGTTCAACATTGAAAATTTTTTTTTATAAAATTTGGGGTGATTTAATTTTAGATTAATTAAAATTTAACATAATTATTCAAATATCAAAAAATTAATAAAAATAATATCCAATTTTCTTCCCGCTGCAACAAAACCGAAGAGAAGGATTTTTTAACCTCAGATTAAAATGAAAGGTTAATATTACAAGGATAATTTTTTTATTTTATTTTTTTATGTAATTTTTATATATTATTAAATAAATGGATATATTAAATATCACATATTTTATATGAATTAAAAATTTAATTATTTTAATTATATATTAAATTATATAAAAAAATAATAAAAAAAAGTTTACAAAAATCATTTTCGAAAACAAAACCGAAGAAGTCCTGAAAGGGACACGTGGATGGTAGAGGTTGAAGTTGGAGGAGATATTTATTGAGAAAACGAGGCGCAAAGGATAGAAACGTGTTGAGAGTCAAACCAAAAAGAAATATGGATATCCTTCAACATTTTTAAAATTGTGTAATGGCCCATGTTCTATTTGCAAGTCCTATAATATTAATAGCTGTTACACCTAATTTTACAATAAATAAAGTGTTGTCACGTGTAATTTTACAATAAATAGAGTATTGTCACGTGTCATTTATGATGATAGATATTTTATTAGTTGAAAGTTGAAACAAATCTCTTCAAATGAGATTGAATGGTTATTTCCACAACAGCAGTAAAATTGTTTTTTTGTTATGAGTTTCTAAAAGGATACTCGCAGCACCAACACCAACAAATTAATCGGTTTGTTGCAGATATCACGCTGTCGTTGGTTTTTCAAGATACTGCCGCAGATCTCCATCATGTTGCCAAGGTGCTATAAATACCGAATGATAAAATCAAGTAAAAAATCGACATTTCACACAACAAACTCAGCACAATTTCTCTTTATAGTCAAATTCATCTTAGTTTCAAGCCCTTTAATTTAATTTCAACTCTACGCTTCAATCTAGATTAGTTTAGTAATCCAGCTCTTCATTTGTTGGGTTTGTAATGGTGAGTTTCATTGCTTTCAGTAGTATTTCTTTGTAATCGGATTGCTTCTTTTCCTTTTTTATTTTCCAAGTTTCTTTTAATTAAATCAAATGATGTCGACATTTAATTTCATGTTTAATTCAATTTCTATTAATTTATATTTTATGCTGTCAGTAGATTTTCCTTGTTTACGGTTTTATTTACTTTAACTTAATTTACTTTTGCTGCAATTAAATTTCTTTTTAAAGCTCTGTTTCAATCCAATTTGTATATTTAAAGTTCATTTAGATTTTTAGTAATTTAGTGATCATTTATTTTCATTGCAGTTTTAACGTTTTTTAAATACATTAGCTTTGAAGAGTCCTAGAATCATATCCAGGGCATTTTACCGTATAACCCATTTAGTGCAGGAAATTCATCCCTCGTTTTTGCCAATCCTCTGATCTTTAAGGCACAATTTACGACGTTCTTCCATCGACTCACAAGCTGAGTTCTATGCTTGGAAAAAAGAGAGGATCGTCGAAAAAATCTTTCTTATTTTGAGCAAAGCAAATGGCACGTCATTTCATATGTCACATGTCAAGGAGATTTTTTGAAATAACAGTAGCCAAAATCAATATTCATGGGAATACGAGATTGACAACCTTAAAATCAATCCATCTATTTCATTTCAGATTGACAGTCACCTCTTCAAGATTTTTCATTGGCAAATAATCTCTTTTAGTTGTTGTTCCAAGCAAATTTGACTCTTATTTTAGATGACATTATTAATCCTTTATATACCCATTTGGTTTTCTTAATTGTGGCCATCTCTACATGCCCCATTAGTTTTTTTTGACCTGGAAAGTTTTTTCCCTTTCCCCTCTTCTCAGTTGACTTTAGAATCATGCTTTTCTTTCTTTCTTTCTTTCTTTCTTTTTATTTTTTTTTAAATAACTTTACAATTTAAATTAATTTTAAAATTACACATAATTACCTCTTGGACCAACAATTTATAACAATAATTTTAACTTTTAATATTCCATAGTGGAAGTACATATATAATTTCTTAGTCCCAACAAAATAAAGGCTAATTTTCCTAAATAGACAATTAAAAGGGATTATTTGCCAATAAAAAAAAGTGTAAGAGATAATTATCAACTTCAAGTAGAGTAAAGGGGCTGGTTTACATAATTTACTTTCTTTGTATTTATAGAACTAGCAGGGGCAAAAGCTCTAGTGAAAAATTCAGGTAAAGGAGAAACTTAGTTACAATGAAAGTTCAATGGTGAAAGAATAGGTGCAAACCAACAACAGCAAAAGTGGCAGTGCAGGCAGGTAAGATTATGACCTGGTAGCCAACACATATTTATTTATTCTGATTAAATAAAATAAACCCAGTTACACTATTATATAATTTGATAACCCATGTTTTTTGGTTTGGATTGCTTTAGACTACCCTTTGCAGTAGATCTAACCTACATCTCTGGATCATTTTTCTATCCCCTTTCTTTTTTTGGTTCCTTTACTTACTTGTCATCCAAAATGCCTGTAGGTGTCATCTCTGGGTCTGATTCTGAACT